ATCACGGAAACGAAAATTTGGCCATCCCGATCCTCTTGAGCCCGCTGTGATCGAGTCGGCGCAAAGGCCAGCCACACCACCCTTAGGAGTTATGCATACATTGGAAGCTACCCCCGAGCCCTCTCTTCCAGCAGTGCCGCTATCCGTGCTGCGTGAATCAGGACGAAAGCAGCGCGAAAATGTTCGCGACGAAGACGACATCATGGCGCTCCCCCAGAGCAGTTCCTCGCCAGCGCCGTCTCCTGCACGCAAAGTACCTTCGGCATCTAGAAAACGAACAAAGAATCCTGCGACCCTCGCACCTGTCATGACCACAGCGGAGCTCCAGACTCACATGATGCCCACCAAGAAACGAAGGACGCAGCGGGAGCGGAAACAGCGCCGCGAACAGTTTGATATTCCGGCCGACATCGAACCTTCAGATTCCGACGCTTCCGAGGAGGACGTGTCGAACTTCCTCCCCTCAAAAACGAGTTATAAAGCACGACGGAAAGGACCTTCGACCAGGATAGGCCTAACGCAGACCAAAGCGAAATCTGGGAAAGCTAGAAAGCAGGACAACACTGCTACGTCGTCAAAATCAAGGTCAAAATCAAGTACGAACCTTTTCATCACTACCACTTCACCTATATTGAGGCCATCTACTTCGAATCGCGAAACTAAGTCTCCATCACAGCATTCTACAGACAAATCATCGAGTATCAACGCGGAATCTCAGGTAGGACATTCAAAGCAGTATGGTGGCTCCCTCCGCAAAGGTCGAGGAACGACCCACACGCAAGACAAGGAAAACCATTATTCTCATTCAGATAATGAACCTAGTCATGTTCGAGGCGACGACACGAATACCCCGGGCGAAATGGAAGAGGTACCCACAGATGCAGGTTGGGAGGGTCAGAGCAATCCAAGACCGGTTGGAAAAAGCAAGTGGGCAGAGATAGACGCTTGGGATATGGATTTTGAGGACGTTGAAGTTACGACTGGATCGGCAAGTAGCTCGCCGACACGGTGGTGACAAGCAGGGCCTCTTAAACTCGACCGCAGACGTGGCTTCAGGATAGCAGTGTCCAACAGCATGGTACGATGAATGAACTAGTGAACGGGGTCATCTGCGTAAGTCTTTCACAATTCTATGAACACATTTCCCACGAGCTCTCAGTCTAATGCCAACGAAACTGGTTCTTGCATGAAGCATATTGAAAAGTTCCAATGTTTTCATTTCCACAGCCTTTTGGTTTGTCAAAAACATGGCATTTATCGCATGAACAGTCCTCCTTAGCCAATGCATGCATAGCTCTGTACCTGTAGTCATGATATCATACACTGGCGAAGGCTTCAGTTGGAAAGGTATCGACGAGGCTGTAATGCCAAGGCTAGACGAGGCTGATGGAGAGTCACTACGTCCCGCACTTAATATGGGGAAGTCAACCCACCAAGGCAAGCCATGCTTCAGCCTGCACCCCATTTACTGTCTCGTTCATTCCACGCTGTACTTGGTACAGTCTACTCGGGTTTCAGTCTACGTTAATTCTCAGCCTGAAACACGGGAGAGTTGCTGTAACTCTATCTTCCACAACCAAGTCACAATCGGCCGCGTTGACACCGCTCTGCACCCTCGCACATGGCAGGTCCGTGAACGAACTTGCGCAGCCAGATTCCGGCATCGATCACTGGCCATGGACAAACTCCTAGCGGAGAGCAGTGCTCTCGTCTCAATCTCTCTGCCGCAAGAAGAAGATCGCTTTGACAAAGCTGCAAAGGCGCTGGTGAACAAATTGACCAAGCTTTCTGCGCAGGATATCGCACCCGCGAAAGATGATCTTGATGTATGTCCATTGCAAGCAAGCCTGACATGAAGTTTGACCAGATAACAGGCACTCTCACCCTTTGCACACACCATTCTGTACACCTATGTCCTCGTCGCAGGCATCGAAACATCTGTAGCCAGTGGAAAAGCGGCACCAAAACAACTGCCATCAACCGCCCTACCTGAAGGTGCCTTCTGGCCTTACATCACTCAGCTTCTCCTCGAATTCGACCCGATCCAAGCACGATATTGCGGTGCCCAAATACTGCGGCTTGTCGATTGTGTCGCGGTAGGCGCAGAGCAGACCGCTAATTACGTCCCTGCTATCCAACTGCTGCACCATGTCATTCTCCGACTCGACAGTACCTCGTCTACCCTGACATCCACACACCGCACCTTTCTCCGCCTCTGTCTGCTGTCGCAAGCATATGCCGAAGCAGTTCGTATCCTCGACCTTCCAATCTATCACATTCCTCCCTCCAAGCACGATTTCCGCATACATAGATGTCTCTGCTCGAATTCGGATCAGCCATGGACCTTTTTGAGTCCGGTGACAGGTCTGAGTCAACCAATCACAAGCCGGACATATCTCGAATACTATCTGATGGGTGGCATGTGTTACATGGCGTTGAGGAGATACACGGAGGCTATGTTTTTTCTCGAAGTTGTCCTCACAGCACCTGCAACTCAGAACGTTGCCAGCGCTATCATGGTGGAGGCCTATAAGAAATGGCTGTTTGTCGGTCTCTTGCGGACCGGCAGCACTCCCCCAATACCAAAATCTGTTGGTCAGAATGCAATGCGGCATATTCGGGCGCTTGCCAGACCGTACGAAGCTGTCGCCGACGTTTTCAAGGGATCCAACGTCGAATTGTTGCGTGCAGAAATCGAGGCGGGCAATCATATTTGGCAGGATGACGGAAACTATGGCCTCGCGGTCGAGGTCTTTGAGGCATTCCGAAAGTTTGCAGTCCAGAGACTCAGCAGAACGTTTGCGGCGCTCTCCATAGCGGACGTCGCCAAACGGACGTCGCCAGATCCGTCGAATCTCGCCGAGACGAAAGCATATATTGACACATTGATCGTGACTGGCGAACTCAGTGCGGTGGTCACCAGGAGTGAAAGCGGCACCGAGATTCTACGGTTCCTACCGACGTCAGCATCCATACGACCCGAAGCACAAATTGAGGCGGCACTTGTTGCCCAGACGCGAGAGCTACAAGTCCTCCTCAAACACGTTCAAGATACGGAACATCGACTGGAAATCTCCAAAGAATACGTTGACTTCCTGAAGAAGCTCAAGAAGATGAGGGATGACAAGGGAGGCAAGGGGAGTGGGAGGAGAGCAGCGGATGACGACGTTGATGAGGACGTGATGGAGGAAATCTAGCATCGCATCTGGGATCCAGGACTCCCTTATCATTGATTGGGCTGTGTCCTGACGCTCGCCACGACTCGACGTCAGTAGATTGTAGACGGCCACGAGGGCCCGAGCGAGTTGAAATCTTCGGCAACTTTGAGACAGAGACTGGGTTTGCAAGCGATCGTCGCATGTCCTGAAAGATGGATCTCATGCGCAAGCACTTCTGAGCGACAGTTTGTGTCTCGTGAAAGTAGTTCATCAGGTAACACATAATATATCCCTCTATGATTGTCTGAGCGATTTCAGATTGCGGAGCCAAGTGCCTGAGGACTGAGCGAGGCTGCATCACCCTTTTTCCGCTTAGAATGGCCGCCTCCATCACATCAAACAGCGTCTTCCTCCTCCCAAATGGTGTCGCACTCTATGGATGTGGAGTTCTGTATAAGGTCAGTGCTTCCATCAAGAGACTACATGTCCAAACCCGTTCAGGCCTTTATCAATTCGGGGTTAGCATTGTAATATGTATCAGCGACCCGCAACCTCGGCGAATATTGTTTGTACATGTATATGTTTTTTCTTTTTTTCACCGACCAGGCAGACACCCGGGAATGCCAGGGTAAATGGGGCGGATGAATTGAAGACAGTAGGTGGGAACATGTACCAGTATGTCATAGTAATAATTGATATGTACCCAGTACCTTATGTAGTAATAGGCTAATTAGTGCATGAGGTGTTTTTTTTTGTCCCGGTCCCTTCTTCAAATCCTGTATCTCCGCGCTGGCTGGCTGGCTGGCTGGGGAGATTGGGCGGTACATACATATTAGGATACCAATATTATTGACCTCATTTCTCTTCTCGGTATTGTTGGCCATTTAGATTCGCCTTTTGTGGTCGGAGGACTGTATTTTACCGTACCTCACGTCGTATACTAGATAGACGGTGTTGTTGATATACCCTACCTCTATATCTAGTATCCCAGAAACGAGGAAAGCGACAAACCCCTGCGAGTCTCTGCAACGATGCCGACGTACATTATAACGGGCGCGAACAGAGGCCTGGGTCTCGAGTTCGTGCGCCAACTCTCCGCGGACAACGACAACAGCAACAACAACAACACCATCATCGCCGCGGTCCGGAGCTTACAAGGCGAGCTGGATGATCTCAAACAACTCGCCTCCCGGTCCGGCTCCGGCGCAGCACAGGGCAAAGTCCACATCCTCGAATGCGACACGGGCGACATCGCATCGATCCAGGCCTTTGGCGACGCCGTCAGGGACACCCTCGCCAGCAATCCCGTCGACTACCTCGTCAACAACGCCGGCATCAACGCCACTCCCGAGGAGACCAGTCTGGCCATGACGGCCGAGAGTCTGCGGAGGCACGTCGACGTCAATGTCGTGGGGCCGGCGGAGACGGTGAAGGTGCTGTTGCCGTGTCTGCGCGGGGGCAGCGCGGTGATGAACATGAGTAGTGGGTTGGGGAGTTGTGGGAAGAAACTGTAAGGGGATTCATTTCTTTATCCTCTGCCCTGCTGTTCTGTTCTGTTCTGTGCTGTGCTACGTTGTGCTGTGTTGGGGTTACTTGCGCCGTGTGGTTGTACATATTTGTCTCCCATCTATCCCGTCTCCCTTCGCTTCCCTTACCTCCCCTCCTCTTCTCCCTTTCCACCTCCTTTCAGAGGCCCCTGTTCGTCCGAAAAAGCGAGATTTGGAGAGAGAGAGAGAGAGAGAGAAAAAACACAAATACTCAAACGATATCCACACGTGCGTGTGGTGTGTTATCTCCAGACCGAAATGCACGACGTACTCCATCTCCAAGGCCGCCCTGAACATGTTGACGGTGCACCAGAGCGAGCAGTTGAAGGACCGCGGCATCAAAGTCATTTGCATGGATCCCGGTACGTTCCCCCCCCTTATTCCCCTTCATTCCCCATCCTTTCCTTAAAAAATCGACACCATTGATAAAGAGGGATGTATGTGCTTGGTCTTTCGAGGGATCTATCCATACGCAAAAGTACCATGTCCATACTACACATCGACTGGGGAGACTCTACACAAACCTACAAACAATACTAACCAATCTCCCCTCCCCTGGGGATATTCTGTACAGGCTGGGTCAAGACACGAATGGGTGGCGAAGGCGCAATTCTCGAACCCGACGTCAGCATTTCAGTGAGTTGTGTCTCTCGTACTCGGTACTCCTTGTTTCTTACTCCCGTCGACACTAACGGCGGTTGGTAAAACCAGGGAATGCTCAAGACCCTGCACACCCTAAAGGACTCGGACTCGGGCAAATTCTACACGTACACGGGGGATTTGGTGCCGTGGTAGTGGTAGCATAGAGCCCCGCTGGGGAGGCGAGAGGAGTGTTGAGATACGAAATACATGGTGGATAGAACAGTATTTTCGGGTGCGGAGAATGGTAGATTCATAAAGACATACACATATACAGATGTAGAGAGACAATTCGACACGAAGCCCTGGACCTGACAAGATAACATAGTAAGATTTAGGCAGTTCAGGCAACTGGGCTGGGATACTTAATATCAAACATCAAGGACGAAAAGAACGTCAGTATGGCAATATACGAAATATTTTTGTCCGTAAGTACATATTCGTATAAACCTGGGATGATAGCGACAGACAATAAACTTGCTGCTTATCTCGCCTACCCTTCCCTTGATATTCTGTGCGCAGAGCGTCGCTTGTCGCTTCGCGGCTCACGGCTGGCATCCCTCCAAAGCCCAGCCAGACCATCCGAAGTGGAACCACTCTGCGCTTCATCTCCAAATGAGGCCTGCAAAGGCCCAAATCCAACCGCTGAGAGGAGTGAGGCAGTACACACCAAACGGCAAACCTGGAACTAATCTAATAGATGGATTGAATCAGCCTTTCAATTTGCAAACCGACCTATACTCCTGCCGTTTGTTTGCGAAGAACGAAGGGTATCCGCCTATTGACACAGTTTGATCCTGCCCTCGTCTGCTTTCCCTGCAGGAATTTCCCACTATTCACCCAGTCTCCTCAAGCCGTCGCACTCGCACCGGTGTCGGTTGTCGCAGTGACTCGCTCAATTTCAATCTTTGGCATGCCTGCTGAGGCAGAACCCAAGTCTGTCACCTTGGCCTTGGGGTCTAGGAAAAGACGCAGTTAATCACATTACTCAAATATCTTTGGAAGATGGACCTACTTTTCTTGTAATAGTCGCCAATGGCGCTCTTGATAGCATCCTCTGCGAGCATCGAACAGTGTAGTTTGACGGGAGGCAGACACAGTTCCTTTGCAATCTCTGTGTTGCGGATCTTTCCTGCCTGTTCTAGTGTCATGCCGCGTACCAGCTCGGTGAGGTACGATGAGGAGGCGATCGCCGAACCGCACCCGAAGGTCTTGAACTTGACGTCGCTAATCGTTTGGGTGTTGGGATCGACCTTGATCTGCAGTTTCATCACATCGCCGCAGGCGGGCGCTCCGACGAGGCCTGTGTGTGACGAATCTGTCAGCCTGTGTTGTGGAAGAAATGGGGTTTCGACCGAAGCTCGCTCTTTTCCACACAATGGCCGAGCTCCGGAACGTGCACAAATCTTGTTCGAATCGACCTACCTGTTCCAACATCCACCGCAGATTTATCCATCGAGCCAACATTTCTTGGATTCGAATAATGATCGAGGACCTTCTCGTGATAGCTTCGTCGCTGCTGCGAGACGGCGGCGGGTCTGAGTGGTGATGAGGAGGCGATACTCGGTCGGACAGCGGAGGTTTGGACCGAGGTGCGCATTGCGCGCGGGATGGCAAGGAGAGCTCTTCGTGACATGGCGACTGCTGATAATTGGTATGTGTGGTCTGTGAGGTCGTGGGATGCTGTAGATTGTAAGATCAGACGTGGAAGAAAAGAGTGTGTAGGTTGTTGAGTGAGTCTGAAGTAATATCGAGAGGTGCTGCGTCAAAAAGTAATTGACGAAAGTTGTCGAACCCTTCGATGGCAAAGGAGGGGGTATCGATCAGTTCTCATTGGCTGCTTTTCACGTGATCTTTGCGCTAATCCTGTTTAAGGGATGACGTCGCTCCATCTCGGTCGACTTTTCCGTGTTACGACTGGCGTGGAGGCACATCGAATCAAGTAATTGCGAGCGACAAACCACGACGCGCCTAAAACGAGATCCGCGTTAACCTTGGACAAGATGGAGACAACTCGGAAGGACAGACCATCCTCGTCCAAGACGCCCAAGAAGGACCACCTCAAGAATCCCTCTCATCCGTACACCTTTGAACACCTTCACAACGCGTACATCACCTCTCTGTCACACGGCAGCAATATGCCCCTCCCGTCCAAGAAGAGAAAGTCCGCAGTCAACGACGACAGTGACGTGGATGTATCCACCACCAAACGTGGGAAAGGTGCATCGGGAAGTGCTTTCGTACCGTCCTCAAAACCGCAGGTGGACTCGGATGGGAATTCATACTGGGAAATCTCAAAGGCGAGGCGCGTGACCCTGTCCGAGTTCAAGGGCAAGAAATTGGTCAACATCAGAGAGTATTATGAGAAGGACAAGGAATGGCTGCCAGGAAAGAAGGTATACATGCCGTGCATATATGGTAGATGTGAGAGTGCTGACCCGTGATTTCAGGGCATCTCAATGAGCATTGAACAATATTCAGCCTTCGTCCAGATTATGCCTCAAATCGAAAACGTACTCAAGTCACAAGGCGAAAAGGTGCCTCGGCCAAATTACGACGGAAGTGCCCCTACTGCCGACGACGGAAGCAATCAAGAAGACGCGGAGGAAGATGAAGAGATGGACAGGAAGCCTAATATCGAAGCTACTAGTGACGAAGACGAGTGAGAGTATCACCTGACAGCACACTCGGCTGCACAGAGACACCCCTTTCAATGGGTGGAGTAGCGAGTGGTCGATGATGGGCTTCAATTAGCAAGCGCAGTCCAAGAAACCACCAAAAGGTCAAGCATGTCGACATTTGTACATGAACAAAGTCTGTGGTATGTATCGATCGGCCCGTGCGAGGCGTCTAGCTGACATGACAGATGTGGTCTGAAGCATTCTAGCTTCTGGTGATGGACATAATCAAGAGCTGGACTCCCATTCCGCCAGTCGGGATGCAAGGCTTCCCTTCTTCCAATGCTTTTCATAGTCTTCTCTCAGCTGGACTTGGGATTCTGCACCCGCCTTGCCATAACCACCGCCACCAGGTGTCATCTAGAGGAAGAATCAGTCAGCTTGTGCCTCCGAAACCCTTCGCGGAATAGGAACAAATATGACTCACCACAATGATCCTCTCGCCAGGCTGCATACTAGCAGTGTTTTTGGCTCCGAGGTTGATATACCTCTCCACATACTCATTGTCGTCCCCGGATTCTCGTCTCTTCCCTTCATGCTCACCTCCTAAGCCTTTGCTCTCCCCTTTTTTGATCTTCCTTACCCAGATATTCTTACCGCATTGAGCATCACCTCCTCCGTGCAATCCGTAGGGCCTGTACACTCTCCGCTCACTCAAGATGCTGACTTGCACAGGGATACGGAACTCGATGTCGCGAATCACACCATCTCCACCTTTGTGTTGACCCACACCACCACTGCCAGCCCTGAGACTGAACTCCCGCAAGATCACAGGGTATCTGCGCTCAAAGACCTCCGCATCTGTAATCCTAGTGTTTGTCATGTGCGTGTGCACACCACTTGTTCCCTCCCAGTCCTTACCCGCGCCACTTCCACCTGCAATAGTTTCGTAGTATCCGAACCCCTTCTGCTCGGTCCCACCCTTCATATTCCCACCAAAGCCAAATGTCAGGTTGTTGCAGTCTCCTTGGCTCGCTGCACAGGCCTCGAAGCACTTGAACACCACATCCGTGACACGCTGGCTGGTCAAGACGTTGCCGCCTACCACGGCGGCCTTCTCGCTCGGGGAGAGGAAACAACCCGGCGGGATGCGTACTTCCACAGGCTTGAGACACCCCTGGTTCAAAGGGATGTCCTGGTCGATCAGACATCTCAGGCAGTAAATGATGGCTGAGTACGTCACCGCTTCAGGCGCGTTGATGTTGCCGTATACTTCTGGACCAGTGCCTTCAAAGTCAAACAGGGCCTCTCCCTTGTCGGGGTCGATCTTGATCTTCAGGCATATGGGGCTGCCGTCGTCCATGTAGTCAATCGCTTGAAGCTGCTGGCCTTCGAACCTCTTGTACACTTCCTTCAACAACTCCCGCACCGACCGCTCGGCGTTGTCCTGGATGTTCTGCATGTAGAACTGCACGACCTCCTCGCCGTAGTCCTCGATCAGCGCGCTGATCAGGTTGATGCCCTTCTGGTTGGCGGCGATCTGGGCCTTGAGGTCGTTGATGTTGTCCGCCAGGCACCGCGTGCCGCTGCATTCGGGATACTGGGCGGGCTCGTCGTACAGCAGCTCGGTGATGCGCTTCTCGTCGAATTTGCCCTCCGACACGAGCTTCTCCGACTTGATGGCCGCGCCTTCTTGGTACAGCTCGCGCGAGTGCGGGGGCATGCTGCCGGGCAGGATGCCGCCAATGTCGGCGTGGTGGGCGCGCGAGGCGACGTAGAAGATAATCTTGTCGCCGGAAAAGGCGGGCGTCACGACCGTGATGTCCGGGAGATGCGTGCCCCCGTACTCCGGGTGGTTGGACACGATGACATCCCCGCGTTTCAGTTTGCCCTTCCAGATCTCGGCCTGCGTGCGCACGCACGTCGACATGCTGCCCAGGTGGACGGGCAGGTGTGGGGCGTTGGCGACAAGGCCGCCCTCGGCGTCGAAGAGTGCGCAAGAATAGTCCAGCCGTTCCTTGACGTTGGTGCTCACAGACGTCTTTTGCAGCGCCCGGCCCATCTGTTCTGCGATGGCCATGAAGCGGTGCGCGAAGATGGACAGCAGGATCGGGTCGACTTCCTTGGTGTTGACCTTTTTCGTCGTCCCCTCGTCGCCGATGTTGATCACCACGTGTGTCTCGATGATCAGGGCCGACGCCTTGGGGTCGATGATGATGGTCTGCGTCCCGTCCGCGATAATGGCGGGCCCCGGGACACGCGTGCCTACATCGAGGTCTTCCAGTCGGTAGATCTTTGTGGGAACACGGCCGCCTTCGAAGTAGACTTCCGACGTCGTGTAGGCCTTGTCCTCGGCCACATCCTTGGGGCTGATCTCCTTGAGTTGCTGGTCTGCCGTCTTGGACATGCCCCGGAAGGACTTTCCTATCCCACGCACGCGCACGTCATCCACGATGATGTCTCTATCGGGAAGGGTGAAGCCGAATTCCTGCTCGTGCTGGCGGACGAACGCAGCTCCAAAGGCCCAGTCGTCTCCGTCATAAAGTTCCTTTGCTTCCTCCGGGGTCGGCTTGATGACCATCAACGCGGATTCGGTGCCGCGATATCGCATGTTGAGGTACTCTTCATACTCGATCGAGTCGTCGGAGAAGCCCTGGTCCTTTAAGCGCTTGCGGGAACGTTCCTTGAGTTCGTTCATCTTTGCTTTTAGATCATCTCGAGCAGAGCCCTTTTTCATATCCCAAACGTGGGACTCGGGGACTTGGTTTTCGTCCACGACGTCGGCGAGCGCCATTCCGTAGGCGGACAGGACAGACGAGTATCGGTGAACGAGGATCTGTCTGATCCCCAAGGATTCAGCGATTGCCACGGCATGTTGACCTCCCGCACCGCCAAATGTCGCGAGTCGATGTTGTGAGGTATCGTGCCCTCGGGCCTCAGTTAAGGATCGAATCGGCCTCGTCATGGTCTCATTGGCGATCTTGATGAAGCCGTACGCGACCTCGTCGGCCGACATGCTCTTATCCGTCTTGCTGTTTATCTCCTTTGTGAGCTCTTCGAAGAGCTTCTTGCTGGCTTCGGGGTCGAGTCCCTCGTCTTCATTTTTGCCGAAAATCTTGGGGAAGAAGTCCGGGAGCAGTCGACCAAGGAAGAGGTTTGCATCTGTCACGGTGAGCGGACCACCCTTTCTGTAGCATGCTGGTCCAGGGTGTGCACCAGCAGACTCCGGTCCAACGACAAACAAGCCATTTCTGAAGAATAACCGGGAACCGCCCCCAGCGGCCACAGTGTTTATGTCCAGCTGGGGGGATTGGATGGTGACTCCGGCGGTGGTGGTCTCGAAGACGTGCTCGTATCTCCCGGCACCATATCGGCTGACATCCGTGCTCGTGCCACCCATGTCGAATCCAATGACAGGGGTTTTGGTCTCGGGGTCGTATGAGGTCAATGCATAACCAACAACACCGCCTGCCGGACCGGACAGAATTGCTCGCAAGCCAGAGAACTGATCCACATCCACGAGACCACCGTCGGACTGCATGAATTCACACCTTGCGCCTCTATCGCCTTCTTCCTTCTTGACGCTCTCCGTTCCCAATCCGCCCTCAAAGCCGGCCTGGAAGCCAGAAATGTATTTCCTGATGGCTGGCGTGAGGTAGGCATCCGCACAGGCCGACGTCGCCCGAGGAACCAACTTGATCATGGGCATGAGTTCGTGACTGAGACTTACGTGCTCGAAACCAGTCTCGCGGGCAAGCTTGCCAACCAGCGCTTCGTGATCGGGAAACGTGTACCCGTGCATCAAGCACACCGCAATACTTCGAAAGCCTTCGTCGAAAAGTTCCTTAAGTTGACCCTTGATTCTATCCTCCTCGGGCCTTCGTAGTATCCTGACAGCCTCCCCGGACAGGCCTTGGACCAGCTCGCTGGTTTTGTAGTTCTCGTGACTGGTTTCCGCTTTCGTCTTGTGCCGGGTAGGATCTTCGGCGTAGTCTTCCAGCGTCACTCTTTCATCCACCTCGACGACTTTCTGATAGAGGACGTCTGGTCTTCGGATGGCCAGATCGAAGATCTTCGGGCGAGACTGGTTCCCAATCTCCAAGCAGTCTTTAAACCCCTTGGTCACGACCATGGCCATCTTCTCCCCTTTACGCTCCAGCAATGCATTGGTAGCGACGGTCGTGCCCATGCGAATGCTCTCTATCTTACTCGTGTCGAGTGCTTCGCCTCGGGGAATCTCTCGACCCGTGAACTTCGACATGAGCCTTCGAATCCCTTCCAGGGGCGCATCGTCGTAGTTCGAAGGGTCCTCCGACAGAAGTTTGATGATAATGTCATCTTCCATGCGCCCCGTGCCTGGGTTCCCAACGCAATCCGTGAACGTCCCCCCTCGCTGTGCCAGGTCAGATTCAGATACCCTGAAGACGAACGGTGGAGGCCTGGTAAACTCACGTCGATGGCAATGCGGATGCCTCTTTCTGCGCCCCCAGCGTCCCCCATTGTGAAGACCTTGATCGAGTTGAAGATGGGGTTTGAAGTCGACGTTCACCCCAAAGAAATGTCCTGTTGTAAGAAGCCGGAACCCAGTCCGGAGAGTCACGCCAGAGCCTCAGATGGTTCTCATAGGAGAAGTCCGTGTCGATGGATCGTGTGCATCCACCTTGCCTGATAACCTGAGGAGGTCGAAGGACAGATTAACTTGCAAATGAAGACAACACCCAGGGTGGAAGTATACACCTTTAAAGTCGAATCATATAGTTATACCACAATCCTTGTCTGGCATCATGGTACAATGGATGGAAAAGCAGTGGGCGGTTTCGTCATAGCAATTTGTCACTTTGGCGTCTTTCTAATAAAAGTCTCACCGTACTAATTACGGCAGAGAATAAAAGCGCAAGATGCATAAATCGCAGAGATGTCCGAACGCTTCTGTGCGAATGCTATGGACATATAGTCCAGGTGAAGAATTGTCATCCAACAACCATTTCCCATGAATATACTTGTACACACCTCTTGCCGGCCGTGTATCACGAACAGATCCTCTTCAAATCAAAGGACGAGCCAAAGCCAGTTCACCTTCCCTTTCATACGCCGCATTGATCTTCGTCAAAAAAAGAGTTGCTCATTTCCGTATTTGAGCAATCGCCTTGTGGGCGGCACATTGGATAGTCTCCCAGTCCTCCCCACGGAGATTATGAATCAGAGCTCGAGTCTCTATCCTTGCTACTCCCAGATGCTCTCTGAAAGCCTCGTTCGCCACCCTTTGTTATACAGTGCTTGACAACCCATGGATGTCGGAGGACATCATCAAGTGGAATCCGCTTCTCGGGGTCCAGGACCAATAGCTGTAACACGTCGTTAGCAACCTTCCAGAAATACGACAAAAAGCGTGATCAACTCACCCGCATGATGAGGTCTTTGGCTTCAGGACTGACAAAGCTGGGAACCGTCATGTCGCATCGTGCAATCCTTCGCTGTGTCATGATCGTGGTGTCCTCAAAGGGCGCTTCTCCAACCAGGAACTCATACGTCAAAACACCCAAGCTCCATAGATCGACCTTTTCATTGTAGAAATTGTCGGAGCTTCCAGGCTTAAGCATCTCGGGAGGCAGGTAATCTAATGTGCCGCACATTGTTTGTCTTCGGTTGTTTGGAGCATGCACTGACCAGCCAAAGTCTGAAATCTTGATCTCTCCGTGGATGCCGACCAGAATGTTTTCGGGCTTGATGTCTCTGTGCATGACATGCTTTTTGTGCAGATACTTGAGGGCGGCGGCCATCTGAGCAATGTATTGTGCGGCCTTCCACTCCGGGAAACGACCTTCTTTTCGGAGATGCTTATACAGCTCTCCCTTGCCCGCGAATTCGAGGATGAGGAACACTCGCTTGCTGTCGTGAAAATGGCCAAAGAGTCTCAGAATATTCGGATGTCTGAGGTTTGACTGAATTTCGATTTCTCTTCGAACTTGCTTCTCCACTTTGCCTTGTTGCAGCTCGGATTTGTGAAGGACCTTGAGAGCGCACACGAAACCCGATGACCTTTCTCGTGCGAGATATACTCGGCCAAACTTTCCCTTACCGAGCGGTTTTCCGATCTCAAACATCCCAAGGTGGAATTGTTTGGGTGCTTGTGGCTGGTCAAAGAAGAATTTGGGGGCGGATCTATTGCGTATGGAGTCATCGCTCTCATCAGATTCTCGGGCAGCCTGGAGGGCTACCCGCACTGGCGAAGGTGGATGGGTCGGAACAGTTGTTGTGGTTGTTATTGTTGCGATTGAGGCAGTGTTCTGTTTCGATTCTGTGGTGACTTGGAGAGGATATTTGACAAGATTTGTCCGGGATTGAGTTGAGGAAACGGTTGGTAATACTCCCGGAGCAGCGCTCTATTGCGACAGAGTTAGGACAAAGTGTGTGAAAGCAGGGAGGGTTATCGTAACGAGCAACTTACCTTTGATTTGAGCATTGTTGTCGTGGGTGCCTCATTTTCGTCGTTGACACTGAGGTGTTCGAAGCGAGATTCCAACGTCTTGGTGGCCATTTTGTCGAGAAGTACGGGCAGCGAAAGATGAGGGAACAGACAAACAGGGACGATATTGCAATCTCCAAGATGAATACAGCTGGGCGCAGTTGAGTGATGTAGTAGTAGCAGTCGGTGGTTTTCGGCGACTCGGTCATCTATCGCAGTCGCAAAAGTCTTGGCATAAACACTGATCGTCGGCCGGGGCAACCACCCACGCCACCCCTCAGCATACGGCGTTACACCCTCCCTTGCTTCGCTTCCCCAGGTTGCGCCAGGCCCAGCACCAAAAACGTTCCTGCGATTTCGTACATCACATCTCGCTCGACACCGAATATCAAGTCCCCCCTTCTCATTCGGACATCCATATTGTTGAAAAAGAGTCCGTGGCAGACCCCTAGGTGACGTCGCAATTGACGTACCATGGCGGTCAACGGTCATCGGCCACCAGATGGCTTCAACACAACATTCCCCTCACCCACTGCTGCTCCACCGCGGTCGTTCTCAATCGAAGGGTTCCGCATCACTACCCAGAAATTGCCCATCTTAAAGGCCGGACCTATCGAAGAGATGACAAATAAGCTGGGAATCGCTCCGCCGGAGATGATTTTTGGTGACAATTTCGTGGCGATTGAACATGCGCCTTCGCACTGGGGGATCAAATTCGATGCCTTTGGGGCGTTAGACCGAGTTGACAAGACCGGGGAGAGGCGGCTGAAGGTTGCCTATTCCCGAGAATGGCAACAGAGCAGAGAAGACACGCATGACATAAAAGAAGTCATCAAACCATTCGATTGGTCCTATACCACTGACTATAAAGGTGATCTTGCGCCTGGCAGCCCAGAATTTCACGCCGCCACTGAACCCATCCCTTTCGAGCTCTTGAAGCGACCGGATCCGATTCTGTTCTTCGATGACGTGATCTTGTATGAGGATGAGCTTGCCGATAATGGCATTGCCATGCTTTCATGCAAGATCCGCGTCATGCCTGCGCGATTACTCCTCCTCTGCCGGTTCTTCATGAGGCTGGACAATGTGTTGGTCCGAGTACGTGATACCAGGCTATATATCGACTTTGGGAAGAAGGAGGCAATCAGAGAATATATCGCAAAGGAAGAAGCCTATGATAAGGTGCGCGATGACTTGGCGAGCAGGAGAGATGATGTGACTGCTGTGTTACGAGATGCCAATCAAATGTCGGATATCTTGCCTGTCGTTGAAAAAACTACTGAACGAGTCCAACTGGGGACGTGAAACAGCTGCTGAACGGGGAGTCGAACAACCACCGGGACAATTCCTAGTGTGCTATCGGAAAAGCAGGGTCGGGATACAAAATTAGCCATGACCCTTAACCAGCCCCAAGGAACGTCAGTTTGGCCGTCTACGCAGGACACTCAGAGAGCCTTCTCTGGAAAGAGACAAGATCTATTAAAGCCACGCTGTGGCTACCACTGTTCCTCTGGTTGGGGGAATGCTCTTTAGCAACGTGGTCGCAACCTGGTATTCTGCAAGTCAAGACAAAAGGCTGTTGTACGTCAAAATGGAACCGCATCTTGTGCTGCCGGCGACGAAGGGTATCAAATGTCTGATAGTGTGCTCGACATGACACGCTAGCGGGAGGCTGGGACTGCGGCGTGGTTTACTACTTAGGGTGGCGACGAAGGCTAGTGCCAGGATGTCGAGTTTGCCAGGCATAAAGGACATGCTTTTCCAGCTTTTATGTAAGGCTACAGGTAGCGCCACACTGCACCATACGATCTGCAGTACTTCGTACAAGTACGAGTACTCAATCCCAGCAGCTACCCTTTGTCTGGGATGAAACCCGAGTGTCCTTTCTCAAGGTCATCGCATCTCGTTTTTGTATTTTGTATGATAGTCTAGACTTTTCTTCTTGCCCTCCTTTCGAATCGTCTTGATTTCAAGGCTATCAAAGTATAAGACGAAAGTGAGACGAAAGAGGACGTGAATCACCGGCCGGATCAATTTGGCGGGATCGAGGCTTCGAGATTGCCATTGTCTGGGCTTGGGGTCGGCTATATTATCTACAGAACGCGCTGGAAACGCGTGTGAAAGAAACCTTAATGTAGGGACATCGACCCGCAAAACGTGCGGCCATCTCGGAGTCCGAGGTCATCGAACCGTGGATAAGATAGCTCAATTTCCTCAGATCAGAATACGAGGGGATTTAATTGCCCTAGATCGTCAACATGACATGAAATACGAGGGCGTCTAGTACATAATCTGACCACCGAGGCTGTGTTGGTGGGTGGGTCACCCTGCATGCGGCACGAGGAAGAAGACAGTTCATATGTACCCCATGAGAGTTTCGTTTCTTTTCACTCCAACGTGTTTACGTATGCATGACAAGCCTGACCTAATCGTAGGGTCGTGAGTAGAGACAAGTTTTGCGACTTGCCAGCCAGACCCCTTGCAGCCTCGCGACGAGACTCTCTTCTACCAGTCAGTCAGGACTAGTACAGCCAGTGTCACCGATTTCGAAATCCTCTGTTTGATGAGTATGAGTACCGGCATCTCCCCCGAACCACCGCGCTCATCAGGCCAGACGAGGTGGCGGCTTATGTGTACGAGGTACGAGGTATTTGCGAAAAGTAACATCCACTACGGTGGCAGGGAGGGTTATGTGACGACAGTATAGCAATGGCATCCTGGAGCTACTATCGAAGTCTCTCAAGATATAGAAGTACCGAGCACCCGAGGGTACACTGCGAACAAGAAGCAAAATACCACTTGATTATTCTAGCCAGAACGATTATGAGAGTTGGTGGATCTCCCCATCTTCGTCTTGATCGAGGAGCGTCATGTCTGAATGACGCGCTGACAGTTGTTTATATTGCTTAACTTCACTTCTTGCGTTTATGTGTTGGTGAATTAGCAAACAATCGCGCTCGTCCCCCATCTGAAATACGAGTAAGTAGGCATATAATATTATAGCTGTTAGGTTGGGGGCCAGATTAGGCCTCCGAGCGCGTTGCACTCAAGTGATGCTCGGCGACTCGGCCAAAGGCTCAATCACGGCTCAGGTTCATGCGGCCTTCGCTCACCCTCTACCTATGTAGAAAATGTCACCAGATGTGGGTGGATGCTGAGGATCTCCTTTCCGGGAAATGCTATGAACACGAGCACACCCTTTTGACCCTCTTGACCCTCCAGCTCGAACCATCCGAGTGACGTGGATGAAGCCAATTTCCGCCTCCCCAAAAGGGAAAAACGTCGGCCTTGCATCCGGCCAATGACATGGCGTTCTTCTCAGCCTTCTCGCACCCCCTTACCCATTCCTCGCTTATTCTCTCCAGAACCACCCTCCACCCGTCAAGCCAGCGATCTTTTAGCATGAAGCCACAAGTTCCGCAGCAGGCAGATGACGCCGGCTCGCCCTCTGGGGCCCGGCCTTTCAGGCAAGTCTCGCAAACCCCCAATGCACATGAGATTTCGACAAGGTTGTGCCCTGAAATTTCGTCAACACCACGAGGGACCTCTTTTTCCGACTCAAGTCTCGCCCTATCCCCCCTGCCTTCGCGACTCTCTTCTGAAACTTGGACCAACGCTTGTATGACCTTTGCAGCGACATGGGCACCATAATGGACCACCAGAGAGTGTTTCGTTTGCTGGCCTTGAACATTTTCCTGTGCTTCTGCATTGCATCGCCTTCAGTGCCCATTGCGACAGATCCTATTCTCTCGACTGAAACAATACCGACGGTTATACCTTCTTTGGTGACGATGTACTCGATCGTGCCCGCTACCGACGCGCTACCAGACACTGTGACGACAATCACCACTACAATCGATGGCCAAACGACCACCATAGTATCGACTGGTGTTATAGCCGGCTCGATCACAAGCACGATTATTTCTACCATCTCTCTGACCACAAGTCAAGTAGTCGTCAATACTGTCGGCTACTCGACGATTCTCGGACCAGATCCGACGCCAGCGGTAAGCCTCTACGATTCTATGCGATGCGCAACGGCATTGCGCTTGCAATAGCGGCACTATATGTCGTTAAACAACCTTCTCATGATTGAACTCTCCACGTTCACTTTGCCATAGCTAGAGGCTGACCACAACACAATTAGACGACTGCTCCTGTTGTAGCACCAACCACGGCTGCACCAACCCCAGAAACACCGATATTGACCACTTCATCTCCATCAGGAGAGGTCCCCACCAGTTCAAACTTCGAAATCACCAGCGCCTTAACGACCTCGAGTTCCATCTCTGCGACATCATCTTCGACAGCAAGCTCATCATCGAGTTCACCGCTCTCATCGGCAACTGGTAGCGGTCTTTCGTCACAAACCTCGCATTCTTCATCTACATCTAAAGGACTGTCTACTGGTGCCAAAGCTGGAATCGGTGTCGGCGTCGCCCTGGGAGTCATTCTGCTAGCTCTTCTGTCGTTCCTGCTGGGCCAGCGCTACTCACGCCGTCGCAACGAGAATGCCAGGAACAACGCTAGTCTAACTGGCGCCAACGAAAAGGACATATTCCTCGCTGGTCGTCCTTATGAAGCCTCTGGCCCAAGGCTTGATGCTCTTGCCGGTGGCAAGTCGTATGACATGCCGGGCTCAGACTCGGTCAAAAACTACGCGAACAACTCGGATTTATCGGCATTGCCACCCGTTGGACAAGGAGACGAGCCCATGTATGTGGGTGTGCCTGCGCACATGTCGGGCTCCAAGCGTTGGAGTATGAAGGAATTTGTGAAATGATGCGTGAGCTGTTTGCACAACGATGCATCTTTTGATGAATAACTCCTTGATGCTTTGCCCAGTGACGGGGTCTTACTTCGGGGAGAAACTGGCCAATCAATAGGCGATATCGAACTCGGGATTACCACCGACAGCCAATAAGATCTTTCCGTCTCCCGGACCAACCCAAGCCTTGTCCTTTCAGACATCCAGATGACGGCTGCACCACTATTCATCTGTCAAGTCTTCGATCGCAGACATGCCACTCCGGAAGATACGGAAAATACTGCTTCTGGCAGCTACACACACATGTGTCAGGGTTGAGTCGAATTCAGGATTGATCCATGAGGCAGCGACGCCTTTCGTCCAGGTGGGATATCCCCATCCCACCTACTACCGAGGCTAGTGATTTCTGCACCAAAGAAGCTAAATCAGACAAAACGAAGAAGATTGTCAGCCACTAGGTGTCGATGTCCGTCGGCACGGAACACTCCGAACAAGAGGGCAGGGTGGCCCAGAGCATTTGGCAGTCCATTGATGCTGTTCTGTCTAACATCTTATGCACGGTCAAAGGCTATTTGTTTGTTTGGGTTTGGGATATCTATCTCTACGACGTACATGGAAATGGCACAACGGTACATGGGAGCGAGGGCGTTCCGGGAAAACAAGGGGAATAAGGCAATCCTGTATTCTGGAGGCAGAACCGTGGGGAATAATACACGAGTCGCTGCCAGGGAATACCATCATGACTAGTGCTTAATCCATAATAGCCCATTCTCTTCTGATGTTGATGCCTGATGTGTGGTTTTGCTCGCTTCGGATCAATTGCCTTCCCAAAAAGGATTAGCCTGCCAAGTTAATGTCACGTGTGGTGAGCTAGCGACAAAATTGGACGATCACCTTCCGCAACGTCCAACTTTTACCTTTTTCACTATCCTTCCAAACGACTTACGTATCCAGAAATCCGCGCTCCTTGATCGTCGCTGACTCCTTGGAATCGCATCTGACACATCTCTACAAGTATATCGGCTTTATCGCGGCGGAGGGTTGAAAGATGCCGGCCCTGTTGGAGGACCCTGAATCCCCTGTAATCTATCGGGCCTCTGGACAGGGTCCGTACCCGACCCCCGACAATCCGCAAATACCTTCGTCAATTTTCCCCAGGCCCGTCACGCTTCGAGACCGTGTGACTGTTGCGACGCTGATTCCATTCTTTTCGCCTGATGCCGTTCCAAAGAGACTGCTGGCATACCTGTCAGAACAGCTCAACAAGGAAATCGAGGGTGGCGACACGTACCCCATGCTCAATCCGCTGCCCCTGGAAACCTTTGGGCCCTATTGGTTTGGTAATTTTGGTACTGTCATGGTCCTTGGAGACATTGGAGGCATTGAAGCCGTAAACGACATGGATCGCGATGGCGTCGACTGGAACAAAAAGTGCCTGGGCAGCTTTTACATCAAGCCCAATTACCCTGGTCGGAGCAGTCATGTCTGCAATGGTGGGTTTTTAGTCACTCCAGCAGCTCGTAACAAAGGCGTCGGAAAGTCAATGGGACAATGCTATCTCGATTGGGCCCCTCAGCTGGTAGGTTTCGGCGGTACGAGCCCAGATAGGGCATATCAAGCTGATGTTCTCCCAGGGATATACCTATTCGGTGTTCAACTTGGTGTACGAAACCAATACTGCTTCAACCAAGATATGGGACTCTCTTGGCTTCAAGAGGATTGGCAGAGTGCCCGGCTGTGGCATATTAAAATCCTCCGAGGAACCCGTTGATGCAATCATCTATGGCAAGGACCTGAAAGCAGAGGGCGAGAATGACATCTCAGAGGAACGCTTTGATAAAATACGATACTATCTAAGACACCAACTCTACCCGCAAGGGGCCGACAGATCGGAGAAAAGCCGGCTAAGGAGTGCCGCCACTCACTACAAGCTGGTCGCCGACGGAGATGGAGGCCCAGAGAGGTTGTTTTTGAAGGATAAGGAGGTTATCTCCGACCCCCAAGCACAATACGACATCGCCAAAAAGATTCATCTCCAGGTGCATGCAGGCATCAACAAGACTACCGCCATGATAGCGACTCAGTATCATTGGATCCGGATCAAAGAAACTGTGAGTCACGTGATCAAGAACTGTCCTGAGTGCAAAGACGTCAATAAACCGCCCATAATACGCTCGGAGAATCGACCTGGCCGGAGCAAGACAATTGACGAGGTTCCCCCTGGTCTATCGTCTCTGCAGACAGGAGCAGCCCCAACGGCACCAGCAACAACGGCGCCACCCGCACCGCCGGTGCAGCCCGGACAGCCCACACAAATCATAGGCGAGGTGCAAACCGTGCCACCGCAGGACCATGAAATCGCGCCGAGTCACATAGCCGATCACATTCCTGATCACAGTTTCGCGTCGATACAGCAACCCATGGATCTGTCCAACGACCATGATCATCTTGTCAATGACCCAGATGACCATCTTCATGCATATGACGAGATGGCCATCGACCCGCAGATCATGGAACAGATACAAGCTCAACTTGATGCCGACTACGATCCTAACAACCATACATATGTCACCCCCGGATTACCCACCTTCACGGACACTTCTCATCTGCAATCTCCTCACGATCCGCGCGACTTCAATCACGCACCCTCTGATCATCATTTCATTCGGGATCCCAATCAACCAATCCTGGGACACGACCATGTCATGGACGAGGGTGGCGCAGGCGCAGGATTGAATAGTATGCAGCCCATGCAACACGTATTACAAATGGACTATATGAACCCGCAGGATGAGCAACAATACAAGCTTGAGGAACAATTCAAACTTGAGCGGTAAGGAGCGGGGATGGCGTTTTGGTTTGGTCATGTCTTGATGAGAAACGCATGCGGTTGATAGAAACAGGTCCGGTCTCGATCCAGACATGTTATTATGGGAACGAGTTCGATGTCAATGTATATAGGTGGAGTATAGTCTCGAAGGACGATAAGGACGCCTTTAGCAATGAGGCTGATGCAAATGGATTTTTTGGCCATAGATTAGGGTGACGATAGACAAAAAAGCCCGATGGTAGATGACAGCTCGTTCCAAAGGGGTCTGATTCTCCCGATGAATCCGGGATAAATCCGGTGTGAACGTAACAAATGTCCTGTAGTTCGCTGCATTCAAAATTTGCTTGTACTGACTGAGTTGGTGCGTCGGCCGGTTGGAGTATGTGAGGAATATAATTACTGTCTGACAAGGATTTTAGACCAGATTGTCCGTAGATACGCACATACACGTGACACATACCCACCAGTACGTCATGGAATTCGCTTGTCAGACGAAAGGAATTCTATCTCTCGAAATCCATCAACTCGCCGCCATTTCACCTAAATTCTCAGACCAAACTCATCCTCACAACGAGACCTTAGCATGGATAGTGGCAGGATCAACAGGAGGCCTTCAAGGCCGCCTCCTCGACTAAGAACCAAGACTGGCTGCCACAGGTGTAGGGTAAGTCCCCCGCGACCTGGCTTCTCTTGTCCTCAATCACCTTTTGAAGCCAACCCATCCTCTCTCCCTGATGCACCAATTGATTATGGGTTGACTTTCACTACATCTAACTCACCCGATGCGAGCAGATAAGACGGAAAAAATGCGATGAAGCACGCCCGATCTGCAATGCGTGCAGGAGACTCAATCTCGATTGCGCATATTCGGATCCTTCAAGTCCTACGACGGCATCGCAAACTTCTCCTATCTCATCCCCGGACATTCGAAGCGATGCGGCCAGAGACTCCCCGTTATATGCGTCAACAACGGTCCCGATACTTCAGAGGGGTTTGAGTCATATGCCCAAGGGACTGAGGACTGAACGTGACTGGAACGTGTTCAACTATTGTTCGACACAGTACATCAGGCTGCTAACCTCGCCTGAAGCTACTTCGAACTTTCGGGATGCCTCCGTTGTATTTGCAATTGGCTTTGAAGAGCCCTGGGTGATGCATTCTGCACTGGCCCCGGCGGCGCTGCATGCCTCCTTTGCTTCCTTGCTCCCCAAGGAGGATGCAATGCTGTACGCCCAGAGTGGTCTCCAAGGGCTCCAACAGGCTCTCCAGCCAACAGCGGGACGAGCCCCTCCTGAAGACGCATACCTTGGAGCTTCGCTATTCCTCGGCATTTTTGAGGGAGGTGACTGCCCTACGCATTCGTGGCTCTCTGATACTAATGTCAACTAGGACTTCTACTGCTCGTCGTCCAGTGCGAGCCTGACACATTATCGCGCCATAGCCAGGATCCTCGAAGATCGGGTTCCAAAAATCCCCCGTCTTGACATTGGCCAGTTGTCAACCTTCCATTCGACTATTCTTGACTCGGTCCTGTATCATTTCTCCACGAGGTTGATATTCGAGAAGGACATTGGCCCTATCTGTGGGTCGTTTCCCTGTCAGACCGTCTTCAAGTACATCGAAGCATTGGAAGCGACAAAGAACGACAGACGCACCAAACCATTTATCCTGCCTGTACTCGGTCGGACGCCGCCAGCGCTATTTGTTCAGATATACCAGATTACGTGGTTGAGCAGGCAGATACCTTTCTGTCGCAATGAGCTCCATGAGCTAGCTTCGCAGTGCCAGACCGAGCTGGGCGCCCTCACGACACACTATCCGGTGATGCTTCCTGACGAGGTGCCGTCCCTAGAGTCCACGGTCACGATCAATGTCAGGAACTCCGAGATCGCGGCGAAGCTCTATTACATAGCGGCAACAATCTTCGCCGCTAAAGTTCTGAATCCAGAGGGTCTAAGTAACCAGTCCCCCCAGATCCAGGCCCATATTTCAAGAGGCGCGACATTGTTGGATATGTACGACGCAACTCTACCCTGCGGGCAATTCACCTGTTGGCCTCTGCTTGTCCTCGGTTGTGCAGCATGTCCAACGACCACAGTTGAGGCGCAACAAACTCACCCCAGCAATATTCCGGCTCTCAATCGACTAGAACTGCGATGTCTCATTCAAGCGAAACTTGTGCAGATCTGGCATGTCTCATATTCAGGCTACGTCCAGCGCACCTTGGCCGCTTTGAAGAGAATATGGCAACTTCCCAGAATACTTAGAAAGGTCTCAATTGACACATATACTGAGAGCGAAGAAGTTACATTCGATGGACTTGATGCACTCATCCAAAAAGAAGGTCTAGGAGCAGGCCTATTGTCTGCAGAGAATGGCTAATTTGGTGGTCTCCAGCCATTTCGGAGACACCACCTGAAGTATTACTCTTCCGAGAAATGTCAGCGGAGACATTTGTCAATAATACGAGCTGCACTGATACACTCCTCGTCGCGCATACGGCTTGTGAATATCTGGATTGAGCACGGGGCACCATCCTGCATCTGTGGATCATCTAGACGACTACGTCAGCGAATAAGTGTGGTGGGCATGTTTTTCCACTTACAATGCGGGCCGGCCTGGCCTGGCTGGATCTGGAGAGGCTCAGAGTCCAGTTGCTGCGACGCTTTCGAGAATGGAAGTACACAGGCAGGGTACTGGACATGTCAGCAGGGACCTCGTGGCTGAAGCTGCGGAGAAGACTTACGTCGAGCACATTGACAAAAGCGGAGTACGCTGGCCATCCATATGTGTCGTGAGGAACAGCTGTGTTCTGGGCAGCAGGGCTAATAACGACATCCAGTTTCTCTTCCGACCATATCTTACGCCAGTCTTCGCACAGCTCCTGACGCTTGACATTCAGAGCTGCATACTTCTTCAGCTTATCCAGGTTGCCAATATCACGAAGAAACTTGTAGCTTCCAAAATTGGCTGGTCGATGGCCCGCAGCTACAGAAGGAACCGGTGGCTCTCCGCTCGCAAGGATATGTCCTCGCGGAGTTTCTGTCTCGAGACTGAATAGCTCCGCTGCTAGCTCAGTGGCATCAGCCACGTGGCCTTGCTCTGCACTCAGCTGAATCACTTGATGGCCTTGGCCTTTCAGTCTGTTGACAGCCTCTGCAAGTGCTCGTTTCACGGGTGGATGGAGCGGATACAGGGGGTCTTCAGCGAGGACTCCGATCCTGAGCTTCGTCTCAGCCTTTTGCTCAAGCTGACGCCACGGCACGTCGATGGCGGTCGAGTCACGTGTGGCAGGCACTGAGTCTATGACTGATTTGGTCAAAACCTCCAAGGCTTCAAAATCATTCGCAAGAGGTCCTGCACAGGCGAGTATGGGCTTCCACCCAGGCAACCCGGGTGTTGCTTGACCCCCATATGGAATCCGCGAAGATGTCGGTTTGAAGCCATAGGTACCGCAGCACAACGCTGGAATGCGTATTGAACCAGCGACATCGGTACCAATACCGAGCGGCGATCCTCGAAAGGCAACCAAGGCACCTTCTCCTCCGCTGGAACCTCCGGCGTTTAGTGCCGTGTTGTGAGGGTTCAAAGCTCGGCCAAAGATATTGTTGTCAGAGTCTGCCGTCATCAGGGTTTGAGGAATATTGGTTTTCACATAGAGTACGGCGCCCAGATTGAGCAGAATGTCGACAAGTGGGGAGTTCTCTTTGGATTTCTTCCCAAGAAACGAGACAAACCCGATTGAAGCCTCAGTGCCAACTACTTGGAAGGAATCCTTGACGCTGATGGGAAGGCCGTGCAAGGGCCCAAGCACCTTCCCCTCGCTCCGGCATTGGTCGACATACTTTGCCCGCTGGAGTGCGCTGTCGAAGAACGTCTCGGTCAGACACGAGGTCAGTTGTTGCGCTATTGCAGCCCTCTTCGAAAATGCCGTTGTAACTTCGACAGAAGTGAACTCTCCCGAGGCCAGCTTGGCCAGCAATTGCGGCACCGTGTAGTCTTCGGTGACTGATATCTCACGCTCGGACAAGATCCCCGACTTCCTGACTATGTCCATTTCGAGGAGTCTGTTTGGATTCTTCTCCAGTGGAAAAGCCAGCAACTTGGAGATATCAGAAGGAAGCTGCCATTCTCGCGGAATGGCTTCCAGACACTGCTGTCGCTTTTGAGCGACCTTACTCTGCCAATCCGACAAGGGAGCAGCGTTCTGTTCAGTCATGGCGCCGATTGAGCCCATATCGTCGACCTGATATTGGTTCCGGTGCCTCTGGTCCTGTTTCTGCACGAGATATTAGCAGTCACTTCAGAGTATTGCTTCAGCGTCTGCTGTATCTATTCTGTGTGGTGAGACAGTCTTCCTAATCTCCTGAATGATCGGCACCGAGGACGATAGGACGGATTGACTTCAGGCGCAACGCTCTTTTCCGTCTTTGACCCTGCATGATACAAAACATGGGGACCAATCAAGTATCTTTGCGCCCGCCAATCATCGGATTTTGCGCCATGCTTGGGGTTGATACCCCGGGCTTTGCTCTTCCTCCTCATCCGCCACTATTTGCCAGATAGCCAGGCACGGGAGGGCAAGCTCTCGACCCAGACCGCGATTAGTCAGACTTGCCCTCGGTGACTTTGACAGATTATTGAGGCGGAGACCGCAAACGCCTCTAAACGGCCTCAGTGACGAATTCTACCACGTGTGTGAGATCTTTATTTTCTCGACTAAGTCGTACCCCAGTGAGACTTGCTGGATAGCCAGGTACAAGAGCTCCAAACGGGCGTACCTGAGTACTTCATTATCTTACCTTCTCGCCTTGTCTGAAGGTACCTGGTTTTGATTCCACGAGCTACCGAGATGGCGGAACCGACTATAATATCCCTTTTGCACAGATTGGCCCAAAGGTTGGACCGTGACCCTGGGACGCCAGTCGAGAAGCCTACCGAGGCCTTCTGGCAAGAGCCTCGTCATTCTTTTGCCGACCAACAATCAGGGGCGTTACCCAAGGAATCCGATGTCGTTATCATCGGTTCTGGTATTGCTGGTATAAGCATTGCACAGCATTTACTCCGCTTGCAGCCCTCACAGAATATTATTATGCTTGAGGCCAGGTCGGCAATATCGGGAGCAACAGGCCGGAATGGTGGGCATATCAAAGCCGTTCCATGGGCCGACTATTACGCTCTCAAGCAAGTGCTCGGTAAAGAAAGCGCAATGAAGATCACGAAATTCCGGCTTGCCCATCTGGATGCTTTTGTCAACGAAGCCACTGCACTTGGTGAAGCCGGCAAGGTTGGCTTGGTGCGACGTGTCGAGGGAATAAGCGCTGTTTTCGACAAGGAAAGTTGGGAGTCGGCAAAGGTCAAGCTGGAAGCATGGCTTGAAGACTTTCCGGAACATCGTGAGAATTGGAGTGTGCATGAGGGAGAGGAGGAGCTCAAGGTACTAGGAACTCCCTCGGATGATTTTCACTTGCTCACCTAGTTCAAAGAAATTCGGCATTGTCAACCCCTACGGGTGCATAAAAGGCCCTTCGGGAGCAGCATGGCCCTATCGGTTTCTTGGTTGTGTACTGTCAAAGCTGCTTGCCACTGGTCATGTCAGCCTCGAAACGCACACTATTGCGGAAGAAGTTCGACGGAGTCAATCCCCAAGTCAACTTTATGAAGTGCGCACATCACGCGGCATCGTATCAGCAAAGCATGTCATTCACTGCACAAATGCGTATGCTGCGCATCTGCTCCCCTACCTGAAAGGCAAACTCTGGCCCCTTAGAGGGCAGATGACCGTTCAGTCGGTACCTATCGAGTTCCCACGACTTGGAGCTTCGAGATCCTGGAGCACAATGTGGGCAACAGGTTTTGACTACATTACTCAATCTCCTGGCGCAGATGGCTCTTTATACCTTGGGGGAGGGCTTCTCCAAGGTGGCCCGGAAAGAGATGAAGACTTTGGAAACGCCGACGACGGCCAGCTGAGTGCGCAATGCCTAGAGCATCTAGAGACAGTACCGTCGAGAGCGTTTGCCCACGGGTCAGGGGCAAAGATAGATAAGAAATGGACGGGGATCATGGGATTCACGGGGGATGGGCTGCCCCTAGTTGACCGCGTTCGAGAATTCATGTCTGGCCGCCCGGAGTGTAGTCCCGAAAATGGTGGTGAGTGGATCGCGGCAGGATGGGATGGATACGGCATGGTTCACTGCTGGCTCGCTGGCAAGGCTCTCGCACATATTGTGATGGGACGCGAGGACGAAGTAACTGAGTGGTTTCCGAGAGAAGAGTTTGGATGCGACAAGGAGAGGCTCGACAAGATGAGCCCCGAAGGTGCTCTCAAACGGTTTCTTGGGCTGTTGGAGACATAGCGTCGAGAAGGCTCTAGGAAACCACTTCTCGATCAATACGTTCGACAGACACCACGATAGTTCATCTATCACATCTATACCTCCGAAAGAGGCAAGCCCAAGCAGCTCAATCTCGACCACGAACCTTGGACCTGTTGGACCCAGCCACTTATCGGCGCAATGTGTTTTGATTCGACACGTCGAAGCGGCTTTCAGCGTCAAGCCTGACGGACATCAGCTATACTACCATTTGCAGGACGATCTACGCTTCTCCGCACATTAAGAGAGGCCGCTAACCTAGACCTAGTCGAGTCGGTGGCAATTGTCCGGAGAAACGGTGAATTGATAAGGGACTTGAGCTGTCATGGGGGTGGCTAATCCGAGAGGTCTACTAAAGGAATGGACGTCCTCGTGCCACGAGTCCATCGATATCTCAAGTGCTTCGATCAGAACACCTCGCTGGCATCACAGGCAGTTGACAATACCGACGACATGACCTACGAAAGACTCCCCCCGGGGACGCAGAGGATCGAGGACCGAACAGGACAGAAGATCCTGCTGGCTCCTCAGCCAAATGCGGATCCCAATCAGCCATTGGTGAGTGTCTGTGTCTGCTTCATGGTTGAATACTTCCTTAATTGTGCGACAGAACTGGTCCGCCTTCCGCAAGTCTGTGCATATGATCATCCTATGCTTTTATGCATTGATGGTGTTTGCCATGTGAGTCTCACTGGCCCCCAATCATGAAGTGTTTTGCGTGGGCTAATGCCTTTCCTCTTCAGCCTCTGCGTCTCGGTGCCCCTCTGGCAAGACTTCAACACCGAGCTTGGGATGAGTTATGCCGTTCTCAACGACGGGTACGCCACAAACATGGCGACCCTATCCGTTGGATGTATCATCTTTGTGCCCATTGCCCTTCGAATCGGTCGAAGGCCAGTCTACATAATCACCGCGTTGGTCATGCTTGGTGCTGCTGTGTGGCAGGGAAAGATGTATACTGTCGGAGACATGATTGGGGCAAATGCCATTTCTGGCCTTGCTGGTGCTGTCAATGAAGCCATCTTCCAGGTCACGGTACGTCCTCTTCCGATCTCCATTGCATCTGGAGACGAATACTAGTGGTCACTCTTACTGACATTGGCTCCCCCAGGTATCGGACCTCTTCTTCGTGCATCAGCGTGGCACCATGAACGGCATCTACCTCGTCGTGGTGCTTGTCGGTAACTATCTGGGCCCGGTTGCCGCTGGCTATGTCGCCGTGTCTCAGCAATGGAGATGGGTCTTTTGGTATTGCACCATCTTCATGGGCGTGGTGGTTTTGGCCATGGTTTTCTTTCTGGAAGAGACCAAATACACGCCACTGGTGTTGACCGGTCGGGAAGTTGTCATCGCCACCTCCATTGAACGGGAGGACAGCCTCACCAAAGTGCGCAGCACCAGCAAGGGCGGCAACACCCTTGGGTCTATTTCCGTCGATGCCACCGACGCCGCCAACAACGAACGTCGCCGTCTTGTCGACATCGACACCTCGATCCCGATGAATTCGTACTGGAAACGCTACTCTCTGTGGTCGTTGAACAAACAAGCATCCACGGAGCAGCGCAGCCTGTGGATGCACTTCTATCAACCTTTCCACATCTTGATCACGTTTCCCGCAGTCATGTTCACGGCGCTACAGTACGGCTTCTCTATTGCCATGCTGGCGATTCTAGCGGTGACGCAGGCGTCGCTGTATCCATTCCCGCCGTACAATTTCACCCCGATCGGAATTGGTAACATGAACTTGCCGCCGGCCATTGGGGCCCTTCTCGGTGCTCTCTTTGGCGGCCCTCTCAACGACTACTTCATCCTGCAGGTTGCCAAACGGCGAGGTGGTATTTACGAGCCTGAGACTCGACTTTGGCTGTTCTTGGTGCCAGGATTCTGCATGCCTATTGGACTGTTCATGTACGGCTTGACCATCTCCAAGGTAAGAATTCCCACTCAATTACATTCGATGTGGATGAAGCTGATGTGCTTGCGTGAAGGGAATGGCGTGGCCCATCAACGCTGTCGGGGCTGGGTTCATTGGTGCCGCCATCGGGGGGTGCGGTGACATCTCTCTGACATACTGTCAGGACTGTTATCAATATGTAAGTCGAGCAGGGCCCACCACATTGTTTTCGAAGGCTCTCTTGTTCTTGACAGAAAGATTGTTACTAAACTCTCTTGGCAGATACTCGGTGACGCTCTGACATCCGTAGTCTTTGTGCGCAACATCATTTCCACCGCCCTCGTCTTCGCGATCACACCCTGGATGACCAACATGTAAGTTTATTCATTCTCGTCAATCCATTGAAGCAGATAGATATACATGGTGCTAACAACAAAAATACAGGGGGGTATACAACATGTTTGTCCTGCTGGGTTGTCTCAGCATTGCCGTAGTGTTGACCTGTGTGCCGCTCATTATCTGGGGACGCAAATGGAGAGCCCACTTCGCAGGGCGGTATGAATATTTTGCTGCGAAGCAGTACTGATAACATTAGCGGAGCTGGTATGGTCATGGTCGAGTGGCAATGTTGACCGTAATGAGAGGATCACGCATCCCCATTCTACCTCTGTATGAGGTGCAAGGAAAGGTTATTCGAAAAGCTAGCTCAAAAGCAACCATTCTAGGAAAGTCCGGTAGAAAAGAAACTGCTGTGACAAGATGAAAGTGCTCCTCTAAGATGGGCTTGTAGGCATCTTCTTCTACAAAGCCGAGATATGCCCACCTGATCCAGACATCTGACCGTCCATTGGAGTGACTGCACCAACGCCTTCCAGGTGAGGGGGAAATTCTCGAAAAGAGCGCTGTGCAGCAGGGGCACGTAGTGAAATACGAGGTACCAGCCAATATTGCCATCTCCCTGCCACACAATTTCCGAGTCTCTTGTCTCTGATTTGAGCGGATAAGGCTGAACCCCTGTGGCACGTGACGACGTGGCTTTTGCAGCCCGCTTGGGTGGCTTTTCATTGTTTCCCTCGTAGCGGGGAAGGGCCATCGAACGATTCACGTACTTGGTGCTTGTACCATGTTGTCCAAAGTATCTGGCTTTAGCGAGCGAGAGATGTGACTGCAATGCACCCTTCCTCAACACCAGGGTGGGAAGCGAGACTATCGCCAGGGTTGTCCTCGCACAGCTTCCCACCAGGCAATTTCCACCCATGGCCTCGCCTAGGTCTGCAGCATTCGTTCCCCCTCCTCCTCTTCCTCCTCGTACCGATATCCGAGACTATTTCTGCAGCCCTTCAAAAGGTGGCACAGGCCCCTGTCCGTGTCCGGGAACACAGGCAGGACAGCAGAGAGCGTGGGTATCCAATGTTTTTTGACAGCAATAAGGCTGAGGGAAGAGCCCGGGCCAGCCAGAGGCGCCGATGAGAAACCCGACCGGTTCCCTGTGTAACCAGGTAGGCTGTTGGACCTTTTCTTCTGCTTTTCTTTCACTGCTCGGGTATCCAACGAGAAGGAATCCGGGTCGGAGAACCGACGTAAAAGGATCTGGTTGAGGCTGGACAAGAAAGAAGAAGAAGAAACTCGTCTCGTCACCTTGATTCCCCCCCAAAGCCTGAAGCTGCATGTCACCGCCAAAACAACTCGACCAATGCAAGCCTCACCCAGATCGCGCCGATCTCGTATAGAATTGGCCTGTACGGGGGACAGAAGAGGATTTGGCCCTTATTGATCCGGCACGAAGCCAAGTGTGTCCCCAGCACCCGAGGCCCTCAACCCTTCGAGCAATTCGTCGTTCTCTTCGACAATTTGTTTTTTTCTTTCCCCTTACAATCGGGTCCAAACGCCACGATAAGATCACGTCTCATCTGCACTCCTGGGGGCTTCTCTCTCTGTGTGCTTGTGTGTGTGTGTGTCTTGGACACCTCTCCCCTATGATGGCGACGCTGGCTTCTTCACTCCTCCTGCTGCTTGCTCTGTTGACGGCGCAGACGGTGGCCCAGGCTCCTGTAGACCCGCTCCGAAATTTCTGCCGGAGGTATGGCCATCAGACTGCGGTGATTGACCGCAAACTCTACATTGACGGTGGCTGGCTCTATGCCAATCCCATCTCGCAGAATCCCATACCCACAATGAGTATTGTCGAACCTCCTCCCCTCCTCGGGTGTCATGAAGTTTCCGTGCTGACAATGGTCCGCAGATGAAGGCCTACTGTTCTGCGACCTGGACCAGACATATCAAGACATGCCGCCGGAGTATGCCAACCTGACAAAGAACTCGTCGGTCCCGGACGTGGCTGGAGGCACATTGTGGCAAGATGAGGTCAACAAGGTCTTCTGGTTGTACGGTGGCGAGTTCTCGGCGGCGCCGTCGGCGTTCCAGCTCTGGGGTTACGACGTGGTCTTGAACCAGTGGAATCTGTCATCGCCCCATGTGGGATCGACCGCATCGATACAGAGGGTGTCGTGGGGAGCCGGCGTGGCGAGCAGCGAGATCGGCATGGGTTTCTACTACGGCGGCTATCTCAACAACCTGACCACTCCGCTGTGGACGGGACCGCCCCTGGCTACGAGCAACCTGATCATCTACGACATGGACCAGAACAGCCTCACCAACAACACTGGCTACGACAACATCGGCAGGGCCGAGGGCATCATGGTGTACATCCCCGCCTCCATGTCCGGTCTGCTTGTATATTTCGGAGGAGTCACGTTCCCTTATGGCAACGAAACTGAGGTCCCGGTAAGTGAGAGGCCTTCGTGCTCCGTCAACGGCCGCACAGATGACATAGAGGGCTGACTCTGGTCCAGGCACCCATGAACACCATCATGATCTACGACATTTCCGATGGCAAGTAAAAGCACCAAAATCCCCCCCTACAGGCGAGACCCCCCAGCTGGCTCAGACGCTCATTCATGTTTCTTTCTCTCAACAGCCAAGTGGTATACCCAGACAGCCACCGGTACCATTCCGGAAATGAGACGCAAATTCTGTGGCGGCGCGACTTGGGCGGATGACCAATCTTCCTACAACATGTGAGTTTGTTACTCGTTGAGTATACCAGATTGCTAACGCTGTCTTGCCGGTTAGTTACCTGTATGGCGGTTTTGGGTTTGGAGAGAACACGACAGTACGCATGAGATATATTCCCTCCCTGTTCTTCCTTCTTCCTCCTCGCTTGCGTTTTATGCTTCCCTCCCGCCCTTTGTATTTCTCTAAAATGCTTATCTAGGGCTTCGACGACGTCTACATCTTGACAATGCCGACTTTCGAATGGATCAAATGGTATCCCGACAGCCCAGGCCCAGGGTCACCGCACGGCATGCTCACCTGCAATGTGATTGACCGCGGCCAGATGATAGTCATGGGCGGCAACTTCACCAACACGACGGCGTGCGACGTGCCCGCCATCCAGGGCCAGCATAACCTGAATTTGGGCCAGTACGACAGCACCAACGCCAAATGGTACCCTTACCTGCCAAACCTGACGGATTACTTTGTGCCCCCAGCGATCCTGCAAGTTGCGGGTGGAACGTAAGTTTGTTTTTTTTTTTTTCTCTGTCGTCGTCTTCGACACCTTTACCCCTATGAGAAGAGCGCGATAAACCAGCCATATGAAGAGAGACTGATCTTTTATTGGGCCTTGGTGGAGAATAGACCTGAAGGCGGAGCCATTAAGAAAGCACCAGTGTCTGGCTGGGACGACGACCGCTTGTCAGTATATTTCAGCGAGAAAGCCGTCGTCGCCGCCCGTACGCCGACGCGTGCCCTTCCTGCAGCGACCACGACGCCTCCGGCCCCGAAACCAACGCCCTCACACCCGCCGGGCAACAAGACCGACACTGGCGCCATCGTGGGCGGCGCCGTCGCAGGCACTGGCGGCCTGGTATTGGTGATCGCGCTGGCGTGGTGCTGCATACGACGGCGTAAGAACAAGGTTATCAACGAACAGAGTGACAATAACCCCAACAACACCGCGGCGTCTACAGCGGCGACGACACCCATCCCCGGCGCCGCGCAGCCGTTCAGTCCCACCTCTCCGCAACCGCACGGGTACGTGATGAACGAGAAATGCTCGACCACGGCGGTGGGCTCGCCGGGCTCGACGACCAGCCGCGTCGGATCGCCGAGCGACCAACTGCACTCATCGTCGCAGTACAGCACGCCGCCGCCCCTGCCTCCTCCCGCACCTGTGCCTCCCCAGCAACTCCCCAGCCACCCAGAATATCCGAACTACTACTACGCCGCGACAGCTCCGATCCCCGCCCCCCAGCAGTATTACCCCGTGGTCATCCCGGGCCAGTCGCACCAGCAATACCATCCTCACCACCACCACCAGCACCAACACCAAGGGTACTCATCATCATACCCTATCCCCATGCACGGCGTGCAAACAGCTCAGGGGATGACCCCGATACCTTTCTACCCGCCTCCGCCTCCGCCACCTTCAGATCCAACTCGCACGCAGTCCCACGAGATGCCCACCGTGCGCAGCCCGGAGATTGTCCAGGTCCACCAGCCGAAGCCGCTGAGGCCTGAGGAAGGGTTGGAATAGGTCGCGAGTCACGGGTAGTACGAGTAGGACTCGGCAGTACGAGGTACAAGTAGTAGTAATAGGGACTCGGTATCGAGGGAGTGACTCTCTCTTCTCCCTCTTTGATGTACCTCCCTCATCCCGCCCAACAAAAGATGATAGAATATCAAGAATGGGAGGCAGGGAGGACTGTGATATTTCTTTGGATGCCGAGGGATTATTTTTAGGGGGCCGTTAAATAGCTATCTGCCCATGGGTGATACCTGTCTTGCTGTCTACCTGCCACCTACCTATACTCCTTCGCCCCTCCCATTCGATATCCAGTCCTTGGTTCAATCCCTGCAGTCGTGGAGTTGCCTCGGTCGGTTGGGTAACGACAAGGAGAGGAGGACACATGTACATGTACAGGTTCCAATATATGCTGCAGACAAATTGGAAGCAGAGAGGGACATTACCAAATTGTCGTGTTGGGTCTGGCGTATGCAGTAAATTCATACTTGGTGAAATGAAGCCATCCAGAATTGGTAGTTGAGAAAAGGTGGGGGGGGGGGGGGGGCCGCTAGAAATAAATGCTCCACCGTACAAAAAACTGCGCATCTCGGCACCAATGCTCCGTCGACCATGAAATTCAAAAAGTTCCTCCACACTCCCAGAAAACGTCTTTGGAGGGGGTGCGAAGTGCGCAATAATTACCACGAAACTCCGTCAAGACAAGTTCTGTGAGATCAAGATGGCAGCAGCTTTCGGCGGGCAAACGCCCACGATCATCGTCCTCAAGGAAGGTTAGTAAAAAAAAAAAAAAGTTCCCCTCTCCCCTGCTCAATCACTTGCTTTGTTGTACCGAATTCCATTTCGTTCCATTACTTGTTCTGTTCTGTTTACTCACACCACTCGTGCGTTGGCACTTCCACAGGCACCGACGCATCCCAAGGCAAGCCGCAGGTGATTTCCAACATCAACGCCTGTCTCGCGGTGCAAAACACCATCAAAAGCACCCTGGGTCCCTACGGCGGCGACCTGCTCCTCGTCGATGCGAATGGAAAGCAGACCATCACCAACGACGGCGCCACGGTCATGCGCCTGCTCGACATCGTGCACCCGGCCGCCAGGATCTTGACGGACATCGCGCGGAGTCAGGACGCGGAGGTCGGCGACGGGACAACCTCGGTCGTGGTGCTGGCGGGGGAGATACTCAAGGAGGTCAAAGAGTTGGTCGAGCAGGGTGTGTCGACGCAGACGATCGTCAAGGGCCTGAGGAGGGCGAGTGCGATGGCCATCAACAAGATCAAGGAGATCGCCGTGAGTGTGGACGACGGCGCAAATAGGAGGGAGACGCTCCGAAAACTGGCCGCCACGGCCATGAGCAGTAAACTCATTCATCGGAATTCGGGCTTCTTCACCAAGAGTGAGGGCTACCCCTTAACACAATCAGTGGGCAGTATTTGTGGGCTCTTAACTAACGAAACACCATTCTAGTGGTTGTCGATGCCGTCCTAAGCCTCGACCAAGACGACCTCAACGAGAAACTCATCGGCATCAAGAAAATCACCGGCGGCGCACTGGAAGACTCTCTGTTCGTCGACGGTGTCGCCTTCAAAAAGACCTTTTCCTACGCCGGCTTCGAACAACAACCCAAATCCTTCAAGAACCCGAAAATCGTGTGTCTCAACGTCGAGCTCGAGCTCAAGGCAGAAAAGGACAACGCAGAGGTGCGCATCGACCAGGTCTCGGAGTACCAAGCGATCGTGGACGCCGAGTGGCAGATTATATATGACAAGATGGAGGCACTGTACAAGACGGGCGCGAAGGTGGTTTTGTCGAAGCTGCCTATCGGGGATCTGGCCACGCAGTATTTTGCCGATAGGGACATATTCTGTGCAGGACGGGTCGCCGCCGACGATCTGGAGCGTGTATGTCAGGCCACAGGAGCCGTCACACAGAGCACCTGCAGCGACATCCTGCCCGCTCACTTGGGGACCTGTGGGCTGTTCGAAGAGCGCCAGATTGGCGGCGAGCGGTATAACCTGTTCAGCCGCTGTCCGGAAGCCAAGACATGCACGTTGATTCTGAGAGGTGGCGCCGAGCAGTTCATCGCCGAAGTTGAGCGGTCGCTACACGACGCCATCATGATTGTCAAGCGCGCTCTGAAGAACCACACCATCGTGGCCGGCGGCGGCGCCACCGAGATGGAGATTTCGGGGTACCTGCACAGATTTGCCGACAAGAACGTGCCGCACAAGCAACAGGCCGTGGTGAAGGCGTTCGCAAAGGCCCTGGAGTGCATACCGCGCCAACTGTGCGACAATGCAGGTTTCGACGCCACCGACATCCTCAACCGACTGCGCGTCGAACACCGAAAAGGAAACACCTGGGCAGGCGTGGACTTTGACCACGAAGGCGTACGGAACAACATGGACGCCTTTGTCTGGGAGCCCGCGCTGGTCAAGGTCAACGCCGTCTCGGCCGCCGTGGAGGCAGCGTGCCTGATTCTCAGCGTCGACGAGACGATCAAGAACGAGGAGAGTCAAGGTCCCCAAGCTCCGGCGCGAGGTTTGCCGCCGGGTGCCGCCCAGCGAGCATTAAGAGGAAGAGGAAGAGGGATGCCGAGAAGGTGACCGAATTCCTTCGTGTCTAGGCTATGGCTATGGCTGGCTGCATTCGACAGGAGTTTACAGTTTCATCGCGTCTCTCCATCAAGCAGGCAGGCAGGCAGGCATTTGCAAGAACGGTCCATGCATGCATGCATACAGACCCGCGGCGAAGAAGACATGACTACTACTACCTACGAGGAATGAAAAATAAAAGGAGTCTACGCATGATACCAACTTAAAATCCGACTTCTCTCGACAACTGGGCACGATGGATTGCCATCACCAAACGAATTTTCAAGATCAAGATATGCACCATCTGGCTGATGGGAGTCTCAGTCTGTCTACCTGACCTATCTCAGTATTGGCAGCAGCATGCATGCGTTGCTCCTTTCCAGCACAGCACAGCACAGCACAGCACGGCGGAAGCACATGCCCGAAAAACCAAAGTGTTGCAGACAAAAAAACCCGAGATACATATGTGACTGCTCTCGACAAACCGGAGCTCAGCATGTTTGTTTCGCGAAAGGCATTGTTCCCAAAAGATGCCATGCATATGAGCGGTTGATGTACAATGGCATAGAATAGTTGGGTACCTGAAGAGAGTTCGCAAAGGCGGGCAGCATAACGGATAGTGATCTAGCGACGAATGGCCGCCTCAAGATCACTTACACACGTGGTAGAACGTAATACCCAGGGGTTGATACCTCAAGATCGCGATATGAACACAGTAGATTACCTTCTACCCACCCTGCCATGTTGCGCGGACGAGGCGGCTTCAATAAGCGAAGTATAGGGGTCTCCTGTACTCGGTACTTTTGTCCGTTCATCGTATCGGCAGCTGCTCCCTTCTGATCCACTTGGTAGATGTGACGAAAGGTTTTGCCGTTGCCCTAATCTCGCACAGTCCATCCCTCAAGAGCATCGTTGGACTCGAGAGAAAGGTAATCTTACCTCGTACTTGGATTGTACACCCTCACGTGTGGACAGAACTAGATCTCTCACCAGCCACAAATTGAACTTTGCATAGGATCAAACTGTGGCTAAGCGTTTGTGATCTTCGCGGGGATGCCGATCCCATCGAGGCTTTCGTATCGTCTCTCGTGACCTTTGAGGCTGGCAGTGCCCAAACAAGAACTCAAGTAGACTGGCATTGGTAAAGTTAGGAAGGGATACCGCCTCATTGGGCGGTTCCTTCGAACCGGGTGCACCAAATTGTGCGGAGATATGATCGGTGAAGGCTGCAGCTTCCCAATGCAGCCGCACTGCATCTGTTCCGTGCTGGCGTTGGACGATCAGAGAAAACGGCCAAAGCCTGATTGGAGTGGGAGCTCGATTGCAGGTGACAGAGGCTTCATGATTGATGTGAGCTGCAGACAAGCTGACCGCAGACCCTTCAGCCCTGGGCTGTAAAGCCAATCAAAGAAAAGTGTACAACAGATCACCAGTTGTGGCGGGCTGATCGTGAACGCAAGAAAAGACCTTTGAGCTGTAGTCGACAACGACTTTCCTCATGCATTCACTAATGCTGCATCTGCGTAGGCCTCGTGGGAAGGGATGTTTGCCACGTGGACCACTATTCAGATTCGACCAAGAGTCCCTTTCTGGCTTTGGACGGTGTGCGCAATGTACAGATGATGCTCGAATGGATGGCAGCAAATGTAATCACCCTGAGCGTACTGGCCACCATATTTCTCAACTCTAGCAAGAATGCCAGATTGTTTTGAGGCATCGCGTATCGCCAGGCCTCAAGCCTGGGGTGCTTGTAAGGTCATCGCGGGCCATTGAAACTCCCTGGACATACCGAGTACTGATTTGATGGTGCCAGCTGCAGGGGCCCAGGGATAACTTTCGGCGCATGCAGGTTGTTTCAGGAATCATTCAAGTTCGTGTGGACAACGCCTGCTCGATCGGGTGGCTGATGCCAACTGGTACTAGGTGGAAAGGTGGTCGGCGTGGGCTGGACTCGTCGAATTCGCACCCTGGCCAAAGGCCCAAATCCCCACCAACCGAAGTGGCAGAGATGGTCAGTGAGCCGGATTCAGAGGAGGCAAAGGGAAAGGGACCGGAGCCGAAACATTCGTCAGCTACTACCTAGAGCACTCGTAGTTCGGGCAGCTTCTGGCGCCGATGACAATTGAACAGAGAAACATGGAGAAAGAGAGCAGAGCATCGGTGGCAGTGGATGTGCAGGCAGGGCGCGTAACCTGGTCGAACCTTCGAGCTCATTAACCACACTGCCCACTTGCGCATCTTCAGCTGACTTGATCCAGCATCCACCTTTGACTTTTACATCAACAAATATCTTGTTCAGATCCGTCAGCTCTTGTTGACCCTGGTGACCCTCCCTCGCGTGTTTGACTCGGCTAATACGAACACACACACGTCAACCCCCCGTCCCCCCCGCTCCACCTTTTCGATAGACTAAGGACG